GGGGGGTGAGAACAACGCGCAGCTATGCTAACCCACTTTTGACTCCTGTTCCTTAGCAACGTCAGCATTGGTACTCTCAAGGCCACAGCGGCGCGCCACTTACTTGTTTTGCATCATGTTCATTATGACCCAGTCCGAGGGGTACACGTTCTTCCCGATGAGGTCTTTAAACATGATGAAGGTTTCCATGAGGAAGTCCTGGAAAAGAAAGTCAGACAGAATTTAAGCATTCGCTTCAAGTGTGCGACGCTTGGTCAAGCGTTGACCTTGAGGAAATTGAGTTTACATTGCTTCGGCAAATGACCAAAGTTTGCTGAAATGCTCCACCAACACCAAACTCAAACTGTTTGCAAGTTGAGCGTCCTGTGTCTTTTCTGACATGGCTTCTTGAGATTTTTTATTTTTTGAGGGTCTACGCATGGAAGCTGCACCAAACAAATTGAATGTTTCAGGTGCAAACAGTTTTGGGGGCTGAATTTTCATCTGTTCCTCACAAACAAGCACGGAAGCTAACTGCGGACGTTAGCACGGAAGCTAACTGCGAACAGACGCTACGCAGCTGAAACCCACCACCAGAGACCAATCAGCCGAACGCCTGCGAGCGTGAGGGAGCCGGCAAACCCACTTGCCACGTCAGCAACACCCAGCAGCAAGACCACTGGACACGTCACCAACTAGCATACAACCGGCTAGCAACGAGACCCGACAAAATGCCACCCAAACAGAAGCAAGACACAAAGCAGGATGAGGACTTCCTGACCCTCACTCAAGTAAACGAATTACTCCAGCAACAAAAAGAGCTTTTTACTGCGCTCTTGCAACAACAACAGGAAAATTTCAAAGGATTTGTCAAGATGATAATCGACTCAACAAACTCACGACTTGACACTTTTACCAGGGAAGTCCAAGAAATAAAAACCAGCATCAACTTTACCCAAAAAGAGGTAGACGACATGAAAAAAAATCTAATCTGTCAAACTGGCCATTCCAAAGACATGCAAGCAGAAATCTACAAAATATGCGACGGCATGCTAGCATTAACAGACAAGATGGACTACTTGGAAGGACAGTCAAGAAGAAACAACTTGGTAATTGATGGAATTGAGGAAACACCGGGAGAAACGTGGACTGAAACAGAGGAAAAAGTTCAAAAAATCCTCAAGGAAAAGCTGCTGTTACAGGGACAAATTGAGGTGGAGAGAGCTCACCGCACAGGAAGACATGAACCTGGAAGACCTCGACCAAGGTCAGTTGTGGTGAAATTTCAAAAATACAAAGACAGAACAAGGATCCTACAAAAAGCAAAATACTTAAAAGGCTCCAACATCTACATCAACGAAGACTTTACAGATACCGTACGACAAAAAAGAAAAGAGCTCCTCCCAAAATTAAAAGCTGCACGTGACAGAGGGGAAACTGCCTACTTAAGACATGACAAACTTATCGTCCACCCTCGCACCAGTACTCCAACACAACAGGCTCGAGTTCAACACCATCAAGCGGCATACTGAGAACTGTTCACCACCCGACGACAAAAACTGACCCTACTGAAGCAGGAAATTCACATACCAAAAAACATGGACTTCGAACCCTTTGATGACCCTTCGAACCCTTTGATGACTTCCAACCCTACTGACCACAAGACATTTGACCCTGAGAACAACTTGGACCCGGACAACAACTTTTTCAAGACTGACCGACTGTTCTTCAAGAACAAACAAAGGGTAACAAACTCTGACTATTACCTAGATGAACAATTCAACACGAATATAAAATTGGAAAATGCACTTTCAGTAATACACTTAAACAGTAGAAGTCTCTATAAAAACTTCACAAAAATCAAAGAATACCTGACTAAATTCAATAAATTTAAAATAATTGCCATATCAGAAACCTGGCTTGACAAAGATAAAACAAGTGAAATGGAAATAGAAGGTTATGAAATGTTCGCAACTAATAGGGAAAACAAAAAAGGAGGGGGGGTTGCAATATATGTAGACAAAGCACTTAAATGCAGTAAAATCGAGAGATTGACAAACACAATAGAAAACCTAATGGAATGTTTAACCATTGAAATACATTATAAAAAGGCAACAAATATCATCATAAGTTGCATCTATAGGACACCAGGATCATGTATTGACACGTTCAATAAAAAACTAACAGATATGCTCAGCTACTACAACGATAAGAAAACACGAATAGGTGGTGACTTTAACATTGACTTATTAAACCCAAATGGACACAAAAAAACAACTGACTTCATAAATACTATGTACAGCAACAGCCTTTTCCCAGTAATCCTGAAACCTAGCAGAATAACAGTTGACACGGCCACATTAATAGATAACATATTTATAAATAAGACTGATCATAAAATGGAAAGTGGACTTCTCATTAATGATATAAGTGACCATCTACCTGTCTTTGCAGTTTTTCCAAATTATTTTGATAGAAAAGCTAAGTCAACAACTCACTTAACAGAAATAAGACTAAGAACCCAACGCTCCATCGATGCTTTTAAGCAAGACCTAGAAAAACAAAACTGGACCGAGGTCTACTCAAACGAAGACCCAAATACAGCGTTTGAAGTATTTCAGTCTACCATAATCTCCTTATATGATAAACATTTTCCATTAACTAAAGTCTCCAAAAAGTATAAAGACCCAAGTAAGCCATGGATAACGAAAGGCATAGAAAACGCATCTAAAAAGAAAAAAAATTTATATAAATTGTTTTTAAAATTGAGAACTAAAGAAGCAGAAACAAAATATAAGACCTATAAAAATAAACTAGTAAAGA